TTAATGTAGATTAAGAGCATGCATGGTCTGAAATCAGACAGACATGAAATTGAGTCCTGTTTCTGTCACTTATTATTAATTTTATAATCTTAAATTACCTTAAATTTTCTCTTCTATGTATGTTGGTACTTTCTCAGAGGTTTTTTTGTGAGATGGTTTTTGTGAAATGAGATGGTTTATGTGAAATGTTTGGAACATTTAATAATTATCCAGTAAGTATTATCAGTGTTACTGTTTTTTTTTTTTCCTGCTGCTATTGGCTTTTGTTTTATTCTTCATTTGTAAAATGGAAATAATAGTATGAGTAGGCTTCTTATGAGAATTTAATGAGTTAATCCATGCAAAGGGCTTAAAACAGTGCCAGGCACATGGTAAATTCTCAGTGTTAGTAACTGCTGTTACTAATATATGAAAGGATCTTTAAAGAGAACTTTTTTGTACTCTGCATTTTTACATCTGCATCCAGATAAACTAATGTTCGTTTTGGAAAAGGCCTTTCCAAAATTTGTACTGTTAATGACTTGATCTCTTAAATTCCAGACTATTTCAAGGATTGTAGGTATGTGGTTCTTATTTTCTTTTTTGGTATGGTGAGAAGTGGTTTTTCGTTTGTTAAAAACCACATATGTGATCATTTAGATATAAGTTGTTAAATTTTGGTTGTATGGAGTTTATTAAATAGATTGTTTCTGCCTACATTAATTATTAAGTATTGATGTGTTACCAGAAGCCAAGCTTTGGAAAGTGACGTTTATAGTAGCTAGAAGTTGCAGTTACCCCTCTTGCCACTGGATGGCGCTTCTGCAACATCATTAAAGCGAATGTTTGGCTGATTTTCTCACTTTCCTGAGCAGCTGAAAATTGATAAATGAGGTAGACTGCAGTAAATTGAAATACTCATTTGAGCCGGGTCTCAGGAATCTTAAAAAAAAAAAAAGTGGGGATTTTCTCTATAGTGTTTGTATATAAGCAAAACCAAATAAAGAATTACTATTTGGATAAAACCCTATGATTGCTCTAGTCATTGGTAATTTAGCAAATAATAGTGGTGCAGAAGAATCTGATTATTCTTCCTAGCAGAATCTTAAAGGGTATAGGTTTTCCTAGCTTCTCTTGACAGCTGAGCTATTGATTTTACTCTAATCTTTAAACTTTATCAAAAGCTTTTTTACTCTATCTTAAGTATAAGTTTTTCCATACTTAAGTGTGTATATGTTTGGGAGTATGGAAAGTACATGCTGAAGTGAAAAAGATATTTACTTGGAGAAAGTGTGTGGCTGTAAAAGTTGTGTTTGAATGTGACTATCAGAGGAAGGCTGGAGGGAATGAGTTTGCAGGGGTAGCTTGGGCCATGCAAGAAACAGGATCACTTGAAGTGTTTAGTAGAGAACATATTTGTAAACATGTCTTCTCTATTAACCTAATTTTTATTTCTATTAATGGGTAAGAATTTTAGAAGTCAGTACTTCAAGGCTCATGACAACAGTAGCAGCAAGAAATCCTTGCCTCATGCCCACCCGTGTTACCTTTCCCAAACTTTTTTTGGCCTGTTATTCAACCCCATATTCCCTAGTCATAGCCTTTAATTTGCAGGAGGTGGGGACTAGTTTTAGAAATTCTCTCATTATTATGGAAGATGAGAATTGAATACTCTTATACCACCAGGCATTTGTGGTGCCTCTTCCTTCACCTTCTCAATAGTTATGTTTTTGTTAAGTACTAAACCAAGTAGTGTACTATAATTTCATTTCCTTTCTTGGACAACTTTTTGTTTTTACTGTAGTTTACAGTTCTTCATTGTTACATTTGCTTAGATTTCAAAGTAATCTTTATATTTTATCCCAAACTCTGCAACAGAATTGCCAAACACTCTGAATTCTGCTTTTCATACAAATTCCATCAATACCATTTCTGGCCCTCCCCCTCTTAGGAGGCATACCTCTTGGGACTTTCTTCTCATTTAATTTCTGCCTTATTCTTTCCTCTCCTTATTCTCTTCTGAACTAGTTGCTCCTTACGCCAGTTGGAACTGTCCTTCATACTGCTCTTTGCTGGATTTCCTTTCTTCCTATTTTTAGTAAAGCATTCTTTCCTAGTAGCTAGCTGTCTTATAAAAGATGCATAGGAGATAAATATTTTTGAGATCTTTCGTGTACATAAATGCCTTTTACTCATTTGACTTTGACTGGATGTAGGTTGAAAATACTAGTATTGCTATTGAGAATTTCATTCTTGATTATTTAATATAGCCTAGTTTGTCTCTCTGCAAGCTTTTAATAATACTATCTTTTTTCCAGGTGTCTTGAAGTTTCATGGTGATATTACTTGGTATAGATCTTATTTTGTTCATTGTGCTAGGCACTTGGTGGTTGGTCTTTCAGTCCAAAATAGATTCCTTTGGTCTTTTAAGTTTTCTTGCATAATTGTTAATTGATATTTTCTATATGTTATTTTCTCTGTTCATTCTTAAACTTCTGTTCGTTAGATTTCAGACCTCCTGGTTTGATCTTCTAACATCATATCTCACATATATTCCCTTCGTCATTTTGTTGTTTTTTCTGTGAGAAATCAAATTTCTCTTACATTCTTTCTGTTGAATATATTATTATTTCCAGGAGTTTTCTGGTTCCAATCTCCCCGCCCCCTTTTCTTGCTTATCTATTTTGATATCATTGGAACTTTTGGCCTCAAGGCTTTAAAAAGCTGATTGGAAGCTCTAAGTGGACAAGTGTGGAGCTTGTCAGGTGATCAAATGTCATCCCAAGGGTGAAGTATCTGGCTTTTCTCAGGTACTCTTACTTTCTCTAGAAAACATTATATCTGTTTATTCAACAGATGTTTTTTGAATGTTTGCTTATATGTTAGGCATAGCTCTAGGTGCTGGGAATTTAACTGAATTAAACAGATAAAAATCCCTACCCTTGTAGATCTTCTATTTTGGCAAAGGGAGACAGTAACAACAGGAACAAGTAAATATGTACAATGTATTTTAGGAACGTTACACACAAATAAGGAAGAGGGATAAGAGAGTATTAACAGACAATGGACATGTGGTGCGGAGACTCTGCAACCTAGGATAGAGGAGCTAGGGGAAAAGGGTGATGATGGAGGAAGAGAGTATTCTGGGTTGTAAGGTGGAATCTGCCTGTTCTGTGTGTGAAACAACAAGGAAATCAGTACAACTAGCTAGATCAGAGTAAGATATAGAAAATGATGAGGTCAGGGTGGAAAGAGAAAGTGGGCAGAATGTGTAGGGCCTTATGGACTATTTTAAGGACTTTTGCTAGTCTTTTTGAAAGATATATTGGGAGATAGCCAATAAGCAGTTGGGTATTTTAAGTTTGGAGTTCAGGAGAAAGGTCTGGGCTATGATATCAATTTGAGAGTTATCAGTGTGTAGAATTTAAAGCCATGAAATTTGAGAAAATCACCAAGGGAATGAGTGCAGATAGAAAGGAGATGTTCACTCCAAAGTTTCAGAGAGATGAGGAGAAACTAGTAATGAAGATTGTAGAGTGGCCAGTGAGGTAGAAACACCAGGAGAGTTTTTTTGTACAGAAAAGAATGAAGAACTGCTTCAACTACTGCTAATTAATTTGAAGATAGACAACGTGAGATTGAGAAGGAAACCCAAGGAGTCTAGGATGAGGTTTCTATTCTGAACAATTAGGTAGGTGGCTTTAAAACTGTCTATATTCTTAGTTTTCTCATTGTACCTGGTTTCCATCCCAAAGGATTTAGAGCTTTCAGACCATGTCCTAAATTCACCTTTCTTCAGAAAAGTTTTCTGAAATAATATTTATTGTCAGGTTTGTCATTAAAATTTTAATTAAATTAAATGTCTAATTGGAATAGTCTTCTAGTTCAGATTTGGTCTTGATCACCAGGCCATTTTATGGTGATTTTTTCAGTAGTTCGTAGAGAAACAAAAGTATGGACCATCAACGTAAGAAATATCCAGCCATGTAAAGAATTTTTATAAGAGCTTATTTGGGCCACAACTTACGACAAAGCAATATCTCATGCTCCAGAGAATATTAGTTTTGTAGTTTCTTGTATGCATTTGAGATTAAGAAGGGAATTTAAGGAAGATTGCATGAAGGTGGGAGACAGCAAGGCAGGGATTGTATTACAGGATAAAGATTTTTTGCTCTCTTAAAAGTAGTTACACTTTAGAAGGAAGATGTCTGAAGAGGCATTTGAAAGGTATGTTAACCTAGATGCACTGAAACTATGGACAGGGCTTACTTAAGGCAATGATAAGCCTTTTACTAAAAAGTTAATACCTGGGGCATGACTACCCACCATGACCTGCCCAATTAGGAATTTATGATCAGATCACCCTGTGAGGTTACTTTCCACAGAATCCCTTTTCGTCCACAGACATAGTCTGATGTTTATAAATGCCAGGCAAGTATAGACAGACATAGTCTGAGGCAATAGGCATAATTTGAGGTTTATCAATGCCAGGCAAGTGGCCCTTTTTCCCTTTTGATTGGCTATGGGAAACATAATGGGGCCAAGTCGAAGATTGGATTGACTAACGAGCAGACAGAATCTGGGGAATCTGCTTGATGTATTTCGAAGTTCTGTGTTATTAGATACATAAACATTTAGTATTTTTATGCCTTCTTAATTTATCCCTTTGTCATTATGAAATAACCCTTTATCCCTGGTAGTTTACTTTTGCTCTGTAAGCTAGTGAAGGTTCTATATATTTTTTCCTACTAGGACACATCTTTTTATTCTTTTGAATTAGATATTTTAAAATTTACTTTTTTATTTCTAATTGTAAGAACTCACTCTTTCAGTGAAGCTACATCTTGTATCTTAATATTACTCAGATTTAAAATTGGATGCATTTGCTCAGAATACATACTTAGTGAATATCCAGAGCCAAACATACACAGATTTTCAGAGTATTTTTATACCAATTAATTTTAGTATAGCCAAGCTCAGAGCCATAGATAAAATGTATCTTTTTTTTTTCTATGTTGTAGGAATAGACTTTAAGATCAAAACAGTTGAATTACAAGGAAAGAAGATCAAGCTACAGATATGGTAAGTGATGCTAATTTACTCACTTTATGCAGTAGAATGCCAAGTCTGAAGGTTTGGCAGTGAAAGCCTGTCTTGTTACCTGTTTAGATTCTATGAGGCTTTCCTTTCTAAAGCCAGCAATCAGATGATCTCCTTTCAATGAAGTAAAAAAATTGTTGCCGTGTACTTTGGAATCCATGACTCCTGGCTGAGTGTTTTACCTTTTTCACTTACTGGTTGAACTTGGGCAAATTACGTACCCACTGTACAGCTCTTATATCTTCATATGTAAAATGAAGATAATACCACCTATTTCAAAAGATTGTTGTAAGGATTTTATGAAATAATCTATGTAAAGCTTTTAGCACAATACTTTGCTCATAAACAATATAAAAAGTTAATATAAATTTTTGTTGCTTTGATAGTCTTAAGCTAAAATATTTATTTTCTTTAATGTGTTTGTAACTTTTTATAGGCATTTGATTTTTATTAATTTGTATAGGGTTTGCCCCATAGAAATACAATAAACTTCATACTTATATTCAAGTATGAATCATAGACTTTATAATAGCAGTATTTTTCAGTTAATATTGTTTTACATATGTTTTAACCCATTAAATACCCACAGTGAACCTGTTAGATATGTTACTCCCTTTTTTTTTTCAGCCTTATTGAGGTTTAATTGACACAATATACTGCACATATTTAAAGTGCACAAATTAGTGAGCTTTGACATATGTATAAACCTGTGAATTCATCACCACAGTCAAGATAATGAACATAGCCATCACCTCAAAAGTTTCCTCAAGCCTCTTTGTAATCTCTTCTTCCTCCCTATCCCTGGTCCCTAGGCAGCCACTCTTCTGCTTTCCGTCACTATAGACTAGTTTTCATTTTCCGTGCTATATATAAATGCAGTCATAGTGTTCTTTTTCTTTTTCTTCTTCTTTTTTTTTTTTTTTTGCAGCAGAGGTGTCTGGTTTCTTTTACTCAGCATAATCATTTTGAAAAGTACCAATGACTTTTCATGTATTAATAAGTTCATTACTTTTTATTACTGAATAGTATTCCATTGTTGATATATCACAATTTGTTTATGCACCGTAAAGCTGCTCCAAATCTTTGTGTAAGCACATGCATTCTTTTCTCTTGGATTATCCCTATTTTACAGATAATGAAATGGAAGCATTTTGAAATAATTTAACCAAGGACTTAAAGCCTGTATGTGGCAGACCTGGGATGCATTACATGCTCAGAATGTAGGGTTGAGAGTAGCATTCTTAATTGCTATACTGCCGCTTATAAATAGTGCAGTTTGTCATTTGGTTTTGCTGCTCTTTCCAGTTACTATCTTTTTTCTTTCTTCATTGCCAGTCAACAGTTGTGTTAAATTGAATTCATATTATCTTGGGTTTCACTGTAATAGGACTTGTCATAGAGTGGATATGAGGATGAGTGATAAGTGTAAAAGCACTTAGAGCAGTGTCTGATGCATAATTGATGTTCAATAGACCATAACTGTTATTACTTGAGGAAGTTAGCAAAGGAGATTGCAGAGCCATAGTTAGAAAAGTTAAAAGAAGAATTAGGGAGAAAAAAAAAGGAGAATTAGGAATAGTGTCTCAGAATCCAAGAGATGGTTTCAAAAGGTTAGGACTACCCTTTTACAGGAAGCTAATAATTAGAAGTAGGGTACATTTAACGAGAATGTCTTCATTACCTGACCATGTAATTAGAAATATAATCTTTATGACATCTTTAAGTTTTAATTCAAATTTAAACAAAATTTAGATGTTTTAAAGCGTTTCCTAAATTTAACAATTCTCTTTGAAGCATGATCCACTTGAGGATCATTGTTTTTTTCCTTACTTTAACTGAAAAATAACTCAGCAAATGAACCGTGTCTCTTATTCTGTTTTATTATAATTAAAGTTAATCTCAAGGGAAGAAAGGATGTTAATTATTCTGAATTTCAACCAGCTCTTCTCTGCTTTTTTTTTTAAAGCCCGTTGCCTTATGCCAGCCTTGGCCCTACATAATGTTTTTTGTTCCAAGCCCCTCCTCAGCTCTGCCACACTGATTGTCTCTCTTCTCAACTGCACTCCCTCTACACACTTGAAGTCAATAATTTTTTCAACTTTTTTTGACAGTAAGAGATACATTTTACATTGTGGCTTTGAGACTCAATATACATGTATCTGTGAGTATATATATATATATATGTATAACAGAAACAAAAGTACACAAAACATTTTTTCAGGTATATTTTTCTATATATAATAGAAATTTTTCCCCAGAAATTTGTCCTGTTCCTCCCTCTACACACTGTCTTCCACAGACTTTCCTTCTGTTTCTTGACCTTGTGGATTTAAACATTTCCTCGCCTCTTATCATGGTAGTCTCTGCAGCTTTTAGAAGTAAACAGTAACAACTAACTTTTGTTTTTAAAAGGAAAGCCTTCCTAAGAAGATGCTCTTTGGAACAGTTAGTTCTCCAGTGTGGCCTTGGAGATTAATCTAGAAAAGATTTCTACTATACCTATACAACTTGAGTATGGCACATAAATGGTAACATTTTTAATTTAGAGTTGTTTAATATTTAGATATTTTTAATAGAACCTCTGGATAAAACACTTCAGAAGGAAAATATTTAGTCTAGGTTTTCATGTATACAACTGACTTTTAATTTGAAATACCCATTTTTCTACAAGGATTAGGAATAAGTGATTGGTTAAAATTTGTGATTAATAGTTTTTTTAAGAGGTTAGCATTATGCCAGCTGATTGTTTCTTTGCTTGAGTTGACATGCTAACATTCCAGGGACAAAGAAGTCATGTACCTCCAAGTTAAGAGATCTAGGATATGCCACAGTAATTCAGGAAGGCTTTTAACATGAAAAACCCATTATCCAAGTTACGATACATTGAAATTTAAAACTCTGTCCTCAAATGCTTTGCTTCCGTTCACTACTAAAAAGCACAATGATATATAGATATATATAAATTTAAGGTGTGTACTTTATTGAACTGGTCTCAAGTCAGTGAAAGCATAATGATTTTTACCTTTCTGTAGTTTAATATATTCAGATTTTTGCTTCAGTATGAAAAAAAAATTCCTGTTCTGTGATTGAATTTTAGTTTTGGAAACTTTCTTCAACCTGTGCTAAAGTTTTGTCACATTTTTCTTCACTCGAATGATCTTCCCTTGTTTTCTTTCCAGATGTCTTTTAGTCTATCTGTTGCATAAGGATGGAGGTGGGTCTTACCCTGGCCAAGGCACATGCATGTAGGTCTAAAATTAGCTTCTTTGGCTGATAGAGAAGTATGTGGTTTTTAAATCCCAGACCTCTAGAAAGTTCCATTATAGTATCTTTTGCTGTCTGTATTTTCCATAGAATAGTGGAAAATAGCCATAGTGAGTTACTTTAAGTCAGCCTTTTCTTTTTCTTTTTGTTTTTAAGGGTTGGAGGTGGGTCAGAAATGCTTGCCACTGTCAGCAGCATCAACACAGTCACCAAAAATTGTTAGTTTCCAATTGTAGAAGAATTAACCATTTACCTCCAGGTAAAGTGCCAGGTACTTGGGAGTCATCCTTGATTCTGCCCATTCCTTTAAACCCAGCATCCAGTTTAGCAAGCCCTGTTGATTCTATCCATATATAATTTATGTAGAATCCATATATAATTTGCCATTCCATTGTTACCCCACCTAGTCGAAGCCACCATTACCTATTCTTTGAATTGCAATAGTCTCTTAATGTCCTAACAGGTCCTTATTTCTCTTTTACCTTCTTCCAGTACTTTTCCACATAACAGCCAGAGTAACCTTCTTCAGTATAAATCTGGCCATGGTTGTCATTCCTTCCCCTATTTATAACCGTTTTGACTTTCCATTGCACTTCAGATGAAAGTCCAAATTCCAAATCCAGATTCCTTACCATAGTTTATGGAGTGGGCCCCTGCCCACCTTTCTGACCTCATTGTATGCCCCCTTGTCTACCTCTCAAGGATCTCCTTTCAACTCCATGAAAATGGCAAATTTTTTTCCAATTTAGGACTTTTGCATATGCCCTGTAGACCTCTCTTGAACCCCTAACCTCCCACTTCCCTCTGACTAGACGGCATTCTGAAGTACCACTCCATTCCAGAGGCTTTCCATTTCAACAGAAATAGATTTTGAAAACTCTAAGTTCTGGTTATGGCCCTCACCGATTTCATCTCTCACCAGTTTTGCTCCAGCCACTATGGCCATTTTTTTTCCTCCCTTGAGTATGCCAAACATGTCCCCATCTTAGCACCTTTGTATGTCAACTATTCCTTCTGCTTGGAATGCTTTTCATCAGCTCTTTGCCCTGCTGCGTCCTCTCATTCATATCTCAATTCAGTGTCACTCTCTGAGAGAGGCTTTGTGTGATGACTAGCTAACTCAGTCCAGTCCTCCAGACACTATCACATTTATCCTAGGTTATCTTTGTCATAGTATTTTTTAGTATCTAAACTTAACTATATTTTAAAATGTATTTATTATTGTCCCCCACTAGAATATAACCTTTTTGAGGATGGGGTCCCATCTCTCTGAATTGTGGTTATGTAACCACCACTTGGTACAGAGCTTGGCAAATGTAGATGCTCAATAAATACTTGTTGACTGAATGACTTTAATTTCTGTTCATACTTCTCATCACCTTAAGCATTACCTCTATAGAGAGGACCTCCTCGATCATTCTATCTAGATTACTTGCTCCCTTTCCTTTACCCCATTCTTCATCACACCACCCTCTTTACTTTGTTAGCATTTATCACAGTTTGAGTTTGTATATTTATTTACTTGCTTTATTCCTATCCCTATAGCAGCATAAGCTCTGCAGGGCAGGTATCAACCAGGCTTTTGACTTTGGACCTTTTTTTGGGGGGGGCGGGGGGGATGAAGATAAGCATAATTTAAATTCATGGTATTTTGCATATCTTTGAGGAAATCCATATCTTGTTAAAATAAAACTCAGTGAGAAATTTGACATCCTAAT